GCCCCATCCACGAACACAGGGTAAGCACTAACACCTAACGGCTCAAAATCTCCCTCTAGCATTGCTTCTTTAATTATTCCCTTCCATCTTAGAGCTGGATTATGACCCCCCACCTCCCATCCCTCCTCCCGGTAAAGCTGGAACCTCTGTAACAGGGATCTTTGTTCCAGGAGTCTGTGAGAAAGGGACTCCAGGAGGTGGCATCGACATTACAGGCAAAGCTGGGGCAGCAGAGAGAGTTGAATTCAGCAAAGGAGGTTGCATCTCTGTGGCTTTGCTTTCCAGCCCCTGGATGCATTGAAGCAGATTGTCTGAGTCTTTACTGGTCCAGAAGTAGCTTTCTCGCTTCCAGCAGCTGAGTTCTCCTCCTCCTCAGAAGAAGAAGAAGATCCTGAAGATGGAAGTGGTGGAAGTATTTTCTTTTCCACTCGAACCTTTGATTTTGTTTCATTCTTCCAGGGTTGAGAAGGAAGACACTTTGACGCAGGTACGACTCTCGATGCATGCGCGAAACTAGTCACAGATGCCTCATCCGTAGTTGCAGCTGTTGATGACGTAACAGTTGTCTCCATGCCTGACACATGCATGATGGCTACAGCAGGTGGCGCTGAGAGCACAGGCGCAGCAGTTCCCGCTGTTGTAGCTGACAGCGCAGGCTCAGCAGATGGCGCAGGCACGCTGGTAGACGCTGTTGCCACTGACAACGCAGGAGCAGAGGGGAGGGGTGGTGTTGTGGGCTGCGCAGGTGCAGTGACTGATGGAGCTGCTGGCTCCGGGCTACCTTTGTCTCCCGCAGTTCCTGCCTTCCCACCCGTGGTTGGATCCGGGCCGAACCGCTTTTTGGCTGCCACTGGCACAGGGGCAATGGCGACTCCAAACACCAGTTGCTCTGCAGAAGTTTTGCTCTCAGGAGTTTTTGCTTCAACCCCGCTATCACCATCCAGAGACACCCGGCGTTCGATTTTTGTGTCCTGAAGCGCGTCTACTAATAAACGCCATATGATAGGAAACTTTTTAACATCTTTAGACCCCTTTGAGATCTCTTCCCATAGTTTCTGTCCTACAGAGTCCCAAGTGGACACTTCAAAGGCAGCAGACACACTGGGTATAAGGTCTCTAGCCTTGGACCATTCCAAAAGCCCTCTAAGAGCATTAGAGTCATAATGCGGATCTTTTTTAAAAAGTATAGCCTGAAGAAGCTTTTCCACCACCTCCTCAACTTTTGATAGGGTGGTCCCCATGCTTCTCCCTTCCTGGTCGCTCGTTTGATCAAGACGAGATTCCCAAAAACTTTCTTACCGTACGGTTTCTCTTTAAATTCCTGACATAGAGGCAATGTCGCTGAAATCTGGCCAGCTTCCCTTGACTTCACTCCCGTTCCCTTTACGTCCTGTCAAACAGCGAATCCGAAGTTACGATCTCAGACAACCTGTTGCTGTTTTTAACACCGTCTCCGTCTACAACTTCGGAGGGGCAGCAGATTTCTGCTTTTAAGACCTTTCCTGGCTAAACATCAAGAGGCAGCAATCTCAAGGGGTCCCTGTTCGGGCACCACTTGTTGACAGAGGGGCTTAGGGTACATATGCATACGATCTATAAGATCTCCAATATGTCCACTTTATTAAAAGAGTTCTGACCTTTTATAGTTTCTCTATATAAGGTCTCATGACCAGATGCACACAATTGGTTACAAGTTACTGTCCAGATGTAAACATACATTACAAATACACTTATAATTGGTTTATAACAGGTATCTAGTCAGAATGAGATAATTATTTACTTTATCAAACCCCACCTTCTTCTTGGCACAAAGTTCCTTTTGTTCTAGCTAGGAGACTCACAGCCATCATGGCACTTACAATTTACAATATCTATAAAGCTATATTAAAGCAAAGTTTATAAAACTACAGAACACAATATAAATTGCTCATAAATCCATCATGTTCCTTCCACAAGCAGCTTTGTCCACAATGGAAAACAATTCTCTGGATATGCAGTAACTACCAACCATGAGATAATCGAATCAGGGACACTCCGTAATTGGGAAACTACAGGTCTGTCAGCCTGACCTCAGTGCCTGGCAAGGTTATGGAGCAGATCATCCTAAGTGCAATCACACAGCACCTACAGGATGGACAAGAGATCAGAACCAGCCAGCATGGGTTTAGGAGGGGCAGGTCCTGTCTGACCAACCTGATCTCCTTTTATGATCAGGTGATCCACTTGGTGGTTAAGGGGAAGGCTGTGGATGTGGTCTATCTGGACTTCAGCAAAGCCTTTGACACTGTCTCCCATAACATACTCCTGGGAAAGCTAGCAGCCCACAGCTTGGACAGGTGCACTCTGTGCTGGGTTAAGAGCTGGCTGGATTGCCAGGCCCAGAGAGTGCTGGTAAATGGGGCTGCATCCAGCTGGCAGCCAGTCACTAGTGGTGTCCCCCAGGGATCGGTGTTGGGTACAGTTCTGTTTAATATCTTTATTGATGATTTAGATGAGAGGATTGAGTCCATCATTAGCAAATTTGCAGATGACACCAAGTTGGGAGGGAGTGTCGACCTGCTGGAAGGCAGGAGGGCTCTGCAGAGGGACGTGGACAGGCTGGAGAGTTGGGCTGATTCCAATGGGATGAAGTTCAACAAGGCCAAGTGCCAGGTCCTGCACTTTGGCCACAACAACCCCTGCAGCACTACAGGCTGTGCACAGAGCGGCTGGAGAGTAGCCAGGCAGAAAGGGATCTGGGGGTGCTGATCAACAGGAGGCTGAACATGAACCAGCAGTGTGCCCAGGTGGCCAAGAAGGCCAATGGCATCCTGA